AGTCGGATGTAGGGGATATGCTTGTAGATGTATGTGTGTGTACCTAAGTGTAAGTAGAATAGCAAGAGTACCTGAAATCTTGCATGTTATGAGCAGAAAAAAGACACCAGCAATTACCATATTAAAAAAAATTACATGTTTTTTGTTTTACACTCCTTTGGGAGGATGGAGTACCTCCCCGGCGGTTGCTGTCTACCAACCTACTACCCAAAAAAATAATTATGTCTTCTAATTTTTTTGCTTTAATTACTTTAGTCATTTTCAACCCTAGTGAAAAAAAAATAACAAATATAAAATTTTTCCAAAAAAGGGGTTTTAAAGTAACCCTATATAAAACAAGAAGTGCAATACAAGACAAAATAGTGAACCACTTCCCCAACCCAAAAATTAAATGTTAAAAAAAACCAAAAAATGAAGAGTATGATTCAGGATTTATGGAGAATTTATGTAATGCAATCCATGAAGTGTTTTTTTAATTTTCAAAAAAGTTAAGTTTTTTACCTTTGCAACTTAAAATCAAAAATTATTTATCAAACAATTTATACAATTTTCAATATGTAATGCATAAATAATTATTCTCATAGATATTACAGATTTTTTCACTACTTTTTTTGAAACTGATTTACACTGTCTTGGAGGGAGATGGTCAGTGTGTTAGAAAAATATTTGTTACTTTTATAAATAAATGAAAACAATGTAATATTTATTAAAACTTCTCCGTATACTGTCAGTTATGCTGCGTTTTGTCAAACTGTGTTGCCTGTGCTACTTGTGATGTTGAGTCTGCAAAACTGGCACCACTATGCTGCCACAGTAAAAACAATTTATTTTTCTTTCAGCAATTTGCTAGAACATGAAGGATCGTCAGAGTGTACCATTGTCTATTTTCAATAAATGTTGCATGACGATATGACTATTATTATCATTTTTTGTCTTAAATAATCCAAAGAAGGGAATATACGAGAGTATAGTGGTACCAACATTCTCATGTGGGTGTGAAGCATGGGTTATAAATGCTGCAGCGAGGAGGCAGCTGGAGGCAGTGGAGATGTCCTGTCTAAGGCAATGTGTGGTGTAAATATTATGCACAGAATTCATAGTATGGAAATTAGGAGGAGTTGAGGAGTTACTAAAACTATTAGTCAAGAGGCCTGTAGAGGGGCTGTTGAGATGGTTTGGTCATTTAGAGAGAATGTAACAAAGCAGAATGACTTGGAGAACATATAAATCTATAGGGGAAGGAAGGCAGGGTAGGGGTAAGCCCTGAAAAAGGTTGGAGGGAGGGGGGTAAAGGAGGTTTTATGGCAAGGGGCTGGGCCTTCCAGCAAGCATGAGTGAGTGTGTTAGAAAGGAATGAATGGAGATGAATGGTTTCTGGACCTGACGAGCTGTTGGAGTGTGAGCAGGGTAATATTTTGTGAAGGGATTCATGGAAACTGGTTTAGCCGGATTTGAGTCTGGAAATGTGAAGTACAATGCCTGCACTTTAAAGGAGGGGTTTGGGATATTGGTAGTTTGGAGGGACACCTGAACTGTCATATGGGCACCTCCGCAAAGAACAGCGATTATGTATGAGTGATGGCAAAAGTGTTAAATGATGATGAAAGTTTTTTCTTTCTTTTTGGGTTTTTCTTGCTTTTTGGGTCGCCCTTCCTTGGTGGGAAACAGCCAACATGTTAAAAAAAAACTACAAGGTCCTTTGAGTACCATCTCCGTTCCACTGCACTAGTTTTATTATATAATGCTATGTATGTTAATACAATAAAATAATTATAAAAACATTGCTATTTTTTTCAACACATTGACGTCTCTCCCCGGGGCAGGTGCCCCCAAAAAAAAGAAAAAAATTCCCAAAAAAAATGCTTTCCCATCTTTAAACACTTTTACCTATTTATCATTTCATGCTTTGCAGAGGTGCCAGATCCAACATTTGGAAGTCCCCCCAAAACTGCCAACCCCCCAAACCCCCCTTTAAAGTGCAGGATTGTTCACCCTTTCCAGGACCAAGTCCAGCAACCATTTTGTGAAGGATTGGGAAAAATTGTTTCCTATCTTTCTTTCAACACCCCGGGCCGTATCCCCCCCGAGGCGGGGGGCCCAAAAGGAAAAACGAAAGTTTCCCCTTTTCATTTAGTAATATATAACAGTAGAAGGGGTTACTGCCCCTTTGCCCGGCATTTTATCGCCCTTACAACATGACGCTTAGGGAGGAAGTTCTTTTCCCTTCCCCCCATGGAGATAAGAGGAAATAACGGACAAGAATAGAAAGAAAATAGAAAAAAACCCCAGAGGGGTGTTTTAAAATATGCTTGAAACCTGTATGTTAGTGTGACTAAGGTAAAGTACAAGACATCCCTGAAATTTGCATGTTTATGAGCAGAAAAAAGACACCACAACCCCACCCATGAAAAAACAATTACGGGCTTTCGTTTTACACTCACTGGGACTAGTACCCCCTGGCAGTTCCTGTCTCCCAAAACTTACCTAAACCTGCTCTATTTTTTTTTTTTTTTTCAAAAGTCGCCGCTCCCCCGAGGCAGGGGCCCCAAAAAAGAAGAAAACCCCCAAAAAGAAAAACTTTCTCATCATTCAACACTTTCACCACACTCACACATTATCACTGTTTTTGCGAGGGCCAAATACAACTTTTGAAGATACACTTTTAAAAAGAACACACTACTTAGTTAAATCATTTGTGCCACAAAAAAAGGATGACAAGTATGGAAGTATTTTTTTCTTTAAAAACAAAATAATGGCCCACGAGCAATCACATTTAACGATAAAGAAAATACATCTTTCATTTTTTTAAGACAAGAGGCTGCCTTATTAATCTTTCTCTTTAACAGACGGCTAAGTCCCACAAGGGGGGGGGGGGACCCAAAAAGAAAAAAAGAAAGATTCTCTTTTTAAAAATTTAGTAATGTTACAGAAAGGGTACTGCCCCTTACCCCCATTTGTTGCCTTTTACATACGCATGCTTATGGATAAATTTTGTTCCTTTTTCCCTGGAATAAACAGAAAAAAACAAGAACAAGAACTAGTAAAAAAATGAAGAAAACCTAGAAGTGTGTGTGTGTATATTATGGTTGTGCATGCATGGAGGGGCCAAGTGTAATAGAAGGGCAAGAGACCCAAAACCCTTTTATGTGTATGAGAAGAAAAAAAAAACCCCAGTCCTACCACATGTAAAACAATTACAGGGTTTTCCCTTTTCTCCCTTGGGAGGACGTATACCTCCCCGGGGGGCGTGTCTACCAATCACTACCCCGGTCCTTATTAATATACATTAAAATTTTAACTGAATCACGATACAAATTTCTTGACTTCCAATTAAGAAACAGGGAAAAAATGAAAAAAAAAATAGGCTGAAGTAAGAAAACAAAATGCTGAAAAAAAAAAGGGAAAATAATGAAAAAAAACAAATGGCTCACCATTATAAACACCCGGTCCCCTTGGCCTTTTCCCGCACCAATACTTGAGTATTTAATTTTGTAACGGAGTAACCACCAAACGGAGAGCTTTGGCCTTATGGGTATCAGGTTAAAAGTAGTAACAGAAGGGCACTAGGGCCACCAAATTTTGGCATCCACAGTAAGCTGAAAAAAAATTTAAAAATTTATTAAAAAAGAACATTTCATTTAAAAATTTTTTTCCTTTTTTTTTACCCACAATAACACAATCACTACCATTTTTAATGAATATTGCCCTTTAAAGGGTTAAATTAGGCTTTACTTAAATTTAACCAATTTGCGACTGAGGTAGGGTCGTGATGAAGAGGGTACTGGCTGGCACGAATGCATGTTTTTCCCTTGGAACTGGTCCCGATTTTAACCTACCGGAAAAAGTTCGCTAGCAGGAGTTGGCAGCTGTGAAAGTTTAGAAAAATGAAATTTGCCCATAAGACAATGCATTTTACCAAGTTTCCGAGTAGATGAATGGTTCAGGAACCCGGGATTTAGCTAACAAATCCTACTAAGAAATTTTAGATGATTTTTCGGGTTAACGAAAACCCAAAAAGCTGAATGTTTACTTTGCCAATTACAAATCAGATAAAGTATTTCTTATATGCTTTACAAATCTCAATTATTATTTTTTGGTTCATGTAAGGGTGCAAGCAACATTAGGAAGTTGTATACCCAAAAACATTTAGGGGTTGGGGCCCTAAAACATCCCCAAAATTTTTTCTTGTTAATGCAACATTCTGAAAGACGAGACAAACTGATACAAACTAAATTTTGAAGCTCTGTCAGTGCCCTAATATGAAAGATATTTGCATGAGAATCAATCTGCTGTGTGAGATAGTGATACTACCACTGTGCCACTCATTATCCTCACAGTGTGTAGTGGACGTACCACTGTACTACTCACCATCCTCACAATGTATGTGTAGACACTACCTTGGTACCCTTAACCATCCTCACAGGTCACATGCTTTTTGTTTTTAACATGTCAGTCTTCTCCTACCGAGGCAGGGTGATCCAAAAAAGAAACACACTCACCATCATTCAATGCTTTTGCCATCATTCACACAATATCATTGTCTTTGCATAGGTGCCCAGATATGGCAGTTTAGATGTCACTCCAAACATATCCTAAACCCCTCCTTTAAAGTGCAGGCATTGTACTTCCCACTGCAGGACTCAAGTCCAGCTAACCGGTTTCCCTGAATCCCTTCACAAAATATTACCCTGCTCACACTCCAACAGTTCATCAGGTCCCAAAAACCATTTGTCTCCATTCACTCCTGTCTAGCACCTTCACACATGCCTATTGCATGCCCAGGCCCCTTGGACACAAAACCTCTTTTACCCCCTCCCCCCCTCTACTACAGATTTATACACCCCCAAGTCAACCTAATTTATTCATTAGTATAAATTATTTAAGTTAACACAGCTAATATAAGGACAGTAAATATTATGCAAATGCTGCTGACAAACAAATTTAAAGCACTGTGTGCTACTGATGTACTCATAAAACAAACAACAGGGAAACACATATACCTGTGTGATATATCGGTCAGTGGAGTAACACTGATCTGTGGCACCAAAGCAGAAACATGTAAGACAGTCCTGAGGAGTGACAGCTCCTTCATTAAACTGTGGTGGCTGACATACAGGTGATCCACCTTTTACTTGTACAATAGAATCTGGCTGAGCAAATACTGATCCACGACTGTTGATAGCTTCACAAGAGTAAGCGCCCTGGTCAGTAGGTTGAGCTCTTGGACACACTAGTGTACCTCTGCCTTCCACACTAGAAAAAATACATTTTGCATTACCATTCTCAAATTATACATGTTTTGATATTTGTATTGTAGATAGTTATCTCTGCTGAGCACATTCCATTCATTTTAATGTCTTTCTCCTTTTTCAGATTACCCTATCTAGATGTGAGACAGTTGGTGTGTTAAGAAGAAAGAATTTTATATATATATATTTTTTTAAAACTAAGTTTCTATTGTCAGCATCATGATGTATGTCACTTGTATGGGCAAATGGTCATTTAATTCATTACTTTAGGGATTAACAGAAGAAGTACTGCACTGGCATTCTGACTTATGAGTTAAAGCAAACACCTACAAACTTAACTGTATAAATGGATGTAGTGAAAAATCAAATAAAGAACACACTAGCATGGCAGGAAAATGCAATCACAAAACTAGAAAACTAGCAGAATAATTTTTTATTTTAATAAAATCTTTTACAATTAAAAATAAGCAGTAACAAGTTCATCACTCAGTCATTACAACCAAGTGAAGGTAAAGTGGAACCTCTACTTACGAGTTTAATCCATTCTGTGACCTTGCTCACATCTGAATTTGCTTGTTTGTAGAGTCAATTTTCCTCATTTAAATTAACTGAAATGGAATTAATCCATTCCCATGGAATTCCAGGCACGACAAAATACTTCAAAAATTTCCCTAATATCAACTCTACGGCTTATTTATCTATCACAATTCATTTAATATGGCATAATAAACAATATTAATAACATAGAAACATGATATATACACAAGAATGAATGAAATATTACGCATGTGAGTAGTTTTGTGGATGCGGCAAAAACGGCCTTTGTTTTTGTTGTTTTGTTGTTGTTGTTATTGTTGGGGTGCATAGGGTCACCATGGTGGCCATTCCTACATATCTTCCCATGCTTTTATTTTTAACAGAAAATGGGGTGTTTGTAAGACAAACCCATTAGATCACTACATACATTTTCAAAGGAAAACAATAATAATAATAATAATGTAAAGAAATTATGTAGTAAAAACAGCATTTACTTTGGAGATAGAGAAGAGATGCTGGCACATCGGCGTATGCTAAATTATACATAGAACTTCATGTTATTATTAATTAGCATGTACGTATTCTTATAACAATAACTCTTGCTTACCATTTGGAATTTTTATTAAAACAAAATATAGAAGATTTACTGTTATGCAGACTATTGCATTATTGTAATAATTGTATAAATAATGTCAACCCAATCTTGACTGCATATTAGACTGGCCAGTTGGGCACACATTAGACAGTGACCTTATTTGCTTACTCTTGAACATCGGCAAAAATCAAGCATTTCTGCTATTTTGAGCTGAATTTCAAGGTACTTTTCATTGTGAAAGCAATCAAAATCATATCTATTTCTGTAATATATCTTCCATTTTATCAAAGGAGACCAAAAAAACGAGAATACAACCATAAAAACCATACAAAAATATACTGCTAAGGGACAAATAAAGGCTGAGAAGTGAACTCCGTTATTTTTGGTCCAATTTCTTTCAATTTTGGTGTAAGTTAAGAAGCATCTTTCCATCATACACTGCCCAAGTTTCAATAAGATAGTCCAACAAACAAATGAGATCCAATTCCCTAGATCAAGAGCAAGAGACCCTCAACAGTATCAAGGAACCTCCCTTGAGGCCTGCTCGCATCTGGAAATTTCGCTCGTGTCGGGAAGCAAAAAAACTGACTGAGCGACTGCTCGTAATTTAGAAAAACTTGCACGTGGATGCGCTCATAAGTAGAGGTTCCACTGTATTTACATCACATTTATCCATCTCAAGAAGAGCAAACCAGTTTGAGATGACACCTTTCCCTATAGCCTCCATAAACAACTAAACCTACTGAACAAACAGGCCATCATACATACTACTGTACACTACATCTACATGACTAAATAAATTCAAAGTACTAAACCCAGACATAGAACTAACTTTTGTAGTGCTGTAACAGAATATATAAGCACAACACAGAAGAAAAATAAAGGAGGACCCTGAATGTATGGCGGGTTAGGTTCCAGGCTACAGCTGTAAAGCAAAAATCACCATAAATGCATATGCCTCATAACATGTTTACACTGCATACTTTAAGTAAGCAATAGAACTAGGCCTTATGGCTCTTTTTAGCACAACTACCCTTAGATGTCATTGTAACACAAAAAGTGAATAGTACATAAAACTGCAAGAACTTTAATACACTTGCAACTTTGAAAAGTTTCCAGACAGAATCGAGAGAGATGCAGAGCTCACAGACGTGGTAAACAAAGTGCAAGAAAATGATGTGCAGACACTCAGCTGAAAGCTCAGGCTGTGACAGCAAATCAGGAGTGGTATAAAAAAATTTTGGGTATAATTTGAAACGTCTGTATTAGCGAAGCGGCGTGAAGTAAAGCCCCATAAACTGGGGCCCTCATGTCCATGAAAACTAAAGGCCGTACAACAACAATCACAATTAATATACATATCAACAAACATATAAAACCCCATAAACTAGTTTTACTAGTGGTGCAAGTATGGACTGGTGCAAGTATGAGTAGTGGGAAGGTTGAAGAGGGCTGGAATAATTTTAAAAATGCAGTATTAGAATGTGGGGCAGAAGTTTGTGGTTATAGGAGGGTGGGGGCAGGAGGAAAGAGGAGTGATTGGTGGAATGATGAAGTAAAGGGTGTGATAAAAGAGAAAAAGTTAGCTTATGAGAGGTTTTTAAAAAGCAGAAGTGTTATAAGAAGAGTAGAGTATATGGAGAGTAAAAGAAAGGGTGAATAGAGTGGTGAGAGAGTGCAAAAGGAGAGCAGATGATAGAGTGGGAAAGGCACTGTCCAGAAATTTTCAAGAAAATAAGAAAAAATTTTGGAGTTAAACAAGTTAAGAAAGCCTAGGGAACATGGATTTGTCAGTTAAAAACAGAGTAGGGGAGTTAGTAGATGGGGAGATGGAGGTTTTGGGTAGATGGCGAGAATATTTTGCGGAACTTTTAAATGTTGACGAAGAAAGGGAGGCTGTAATTTCATGCACTGGCCAAGGAGGTATACCATCTTTTAGGAGTGAAGAAGAACAGGCTGTGAGTGTGGGGGAGGTGCGTGAGGCATTACGTAAATGAAAGGGGGTAAAGCAGCTGGAACTGATGGGATCATGACAGAAATGTTAAAAGCAGGGGAGGATATAGTGTTTGAGTGGTTGGTATTTTTGTTTAATAAATGTAAATGTTTAATAAATGTATGGGTAGTAGGTTGGTAGACAGCAACCACCCAGGGAGGTACTACCGTCCTGCCAAGTGAGTGTAAAACAAAAGCCTGTAACTGTTTTACATGATGGTAGGATTTGCTGGTGTCTTTTGTCTGTCTCATAAATATGCAAAATTACAGGCGTCTTGCTACTTCTACTTACACTTAGGTCACACTACACATACATGTACACGTTTATTTATACACACTCATCTGAGTTTTCTTTGATTTTATCTTAATAGTTCTTGGTCTTATTACTTTTCCTTTTATATCCATGGGGAAGTGGAATAAAAATCTTTCCTCCGTAAGCCATGGGTGTTGTAAAAGTCAACTAAAATGCCGGGAACAATGGGCTAGTAACCCCTTTTCCTGTAAAGATTACTAAAAAGAATAAGAAGAAAATTGTCAAAGTGGGAAGTCTGAATGTGCGTGGATGTTGTGCAAATGATAAGAAAAAGATGATTGTGGATGTTATGAATGAGAAGAAGCTGGATGTCCTGGCTTTAAGTGAAACAAAGCTGAAGGGGGTGGGAGAGTTTCAATGGAGAGGAAATAAATGGGATTAGGTCAGGGGTTTCAAATAGAGTTAGAGATAAAGAAGGAGTAGCAATAATGTTGAAGGATAAGCTATGGCAGGAAAAGAGGGACTACAAATGTATAAATTCAAGGATTATGTGGAGTAAAATAAAGATTGGATGTGAAAAGTGGTTATAGTAAGCATGTATGCACCTGGAGAAGAGAGAAGTGTAGAGGAGAGAGAGAGATTCTGGGAAATGTTGAGTGAATGCGTGGGGAGTTTTGAATCAAGTGTGAGAGTAATGGTGGTTGGGGATTTCAATGCTAAAGTGGGTAAAAATGTTATGGAGGAGTAGTAGGTAAATTTGGGGTGCCAGGGGTAAATGTAAATGGGGAGCCTTTAATTGAGCTATGTGTAGAAAGAAATTTGGTAATAAGTAATACATATTTTATGAAAAAGAGGATAAATAAATATACAAGGTATGATGTAGCACGTAATGAAAGTAGTTTGTTAGATTATGTATTGGTGGATAAAGGTTGATGGGTAGGCTCCAGGATGTACATGTTTATAGAGGGGCAACTGATATATCGGATCATTATTTAGTTGTAGCTACAGTTAGAGTAAGAGGTAGATGGGAAAAGAGGAAGGTGGCAACAACAAGCAAGAGGGAGGTGAAAGTGTATAAACTAAGGGAGGAGGAAGTTCGGGCGAGATATAAGCGACTATTGGCAGAAAGGTAGGGTAGTGCAAAGATGAGTAGTGGGGGGGTTGAAGAGTGTTGGAATAGTTTTAAAAATGCAGTACAGTGTATTAGAATGTAGAACAGTAGTTTGTGGTTATAGGAGGGTGGGGGCAGGAGGAAAGAGGAGTGATTGGTGGAATGATGAAGTAAAGGGTGTAATAAAAGAGAAAAAGGTAGCTTATGAGAGGTTTTTACAAAGCAGAAGTGTTATAAGAAGAGCAGAGTACATGGAGAGTAAAAGAAAGGTGAAGAGAGTGGTGAGAGAGTGCAAAAGGAGAGCAGATGAAAGAGTGGGAGAGGCACTGTCAAGAAATTTTAATGAAAATAAGAAAAAATTTTGGAGCGAGTTAACCCTTTCAGGGTCCATCCCGTAGATCAACGGCTTTACGTTGAGTGTCGAAACCGTAGATCTATGCCAAAATTCTAGCGCCGTCAAATTTAGCACAAAAACGCTCATAGGCCTACATGTGAGAGAACGGGTCTGTGTGGTGG